GTTCCTTACTTCTTGGCCCCATCTGATACAGGATAACAGGCTGAAATGTTTGCCTCCCTTTCATTATTTGTTGAAAGTCAAACTGTATTTCCCTTCCTCCACACACCAAATTACATCTGCTGCCTGATTTTCTCCTGTCTCTTACCTCTTCGTAGTCTCCTCAAAATCAGACAATTGACCCGTGTGAAAGGACATTCAGGTAGTGTGAAAAACTATCTGCTAGGTTTATAAACAGTAGCAACTACACTGGTGTAAATCCAGATCAATTCAGTTATTCCATTATGAATGCACACTAGTTTAAAACGAATCAACATGAGGCTCATTTATCTTACAAAAGCGATTATATCTCATTCAAGATTCTTCTGAGCTGTGGGCAGATTCCTAAACCAGCAGGTATCAGTTTGGTCCCAGGTGATAATCCAGCAGAGGAAATTTGCGGGTGGGTCTGAAGGTTGTCCTCAGTGTCATATCATTTTAATACATCAAAGCATGTGGAGTGAAAGTTGTTTAGCAACATGCATTATAGGTTACAGAAAGGGAATAGACCAATTTGTTTGGAAACTTTCATTTAGGTGTAAATCCTAGTGTGTTGAACACAGCTTTATGCCAGAAAATTTAGCAGCGTTTGCATTCACTCCCTGATTAAAATAAGCAAAAAGCTACAAACTGACTGCAAGTTCAAAATTAGGAGCATGTTAACCACTGTTACAGTTTTGGATTTACTGTTTTCCCTTGCCATCAAAGAGAATTTTCCATGTCATTAAAGAAACTTGCCTTTTTAAAGGCTTATAAAGGTTCTTAAAGGCTGTGTCCAAACCACGTATATTTGTAGGGATTTTTATGTTAATGTTTGATAGCTCACTTGAAACTATTTTAAACTAAGGAGGCACAATGTACCATTTTGGTATAATTGTACCATGAAATGAAGACAAGACCCCTTTGATATCTTACTGCATACAAAGGCACCCATCTTTTTAAAGCTCAGGATTCATAACTCCAGAACCACCACTAAAGCTACTGTCATTGCTTTTTAAAATGTAGAAGTCTTGCATGCAACCTTCTTTCTTTTCAGCACATTTGCTGTCACACCAGCATCAATTTCCCAATGAGCTTGCAGAAGCATCTGTCTTTGCAGAACTTCAGCTTACAATCCTGTCGTTAGTTTGTTCAAAGATTGGGTGTTTAGAAGTAACAGCTCTTTATACTAGAGAGGAAGAGGTTCTAATTTCCAAGAGTTTTCTTTATTGTATTTGTGCTTTAGAAAAATCCACAATTTCTCTTCTATATAACCTCCTCAAATTTTACTGATCACTGTACACTGTATACTGTAAGCTATATTGCTTGGTTACGGTTTTTGTTGTAAAGCAACAGATGAGGAGCTCAGCAAGTCTATAATTCTAAAGTTTCTAAATTACAAAATTTCTCAGTGATGTCCTCCAGCCTACACGTGGGAAGACAACCCAGAAGATCTTTACCATATCAACATCTTAATAAATATTCCTCTGAGTCATGAATTACTGCCATATGCAGGCATGAATCATGTGAAAGCTTTGTTGTGTCCCTTGAATTCTGAAGGCCTCCACAGAAAAGAAACTGCTATCCAGCTGCACAGCCCAAAATAGAGAGATCGTTCCCCCCACAGAAGGAGTTCCTTCCCTGAGGAGATGCCATTGTAACTCACATCTTTTGGGGAAACTGGAAATTGAGTTCAGATTCCTGTGCCCAGTGTTGACTTCGATGGGTCAAGTATACCAGAGACATCAAGCTTTAGCCCTAACCAGTAAAGTGGAAATACTTATTTTCTGGGAAAGAAATATATGCAAATGTAGGCTTTTTTACTTGCCTAGTATAATTGCTGTGTAAGAAACATTCCGCAACTCTGCGTAGAGGTGTAATTTTAAAAGCTTTCACTCTTTTGACCATTCTGTACTGAAAGTTACTTTGAGTCGTAAAATATGTATTCTAAGGTGAGATTTTACAGATGATTTAAGCAGCAACTTGTGACAAAGCAGTTATCATCAGGAGATAATTGACCTTATTTGAGAGTTAAGCATCCTGAGGCAAAGTAGAGTGTGCTTAATCCTGGCAGGTTAATTATCCAGTGATTATGGTAGCTTGGAAGGTATTACTTCTAAGAACCATTTGCAAAATGACACTATTAAAAAAAACCTTAATTTAATAAAAATTAAAAGCAATGACAATAATCAAGTTCTCCAGTCATGTATTGCTAGATAATGACTGCAGAATGGCCCTAATTGGTTAGCGGCAATGAACATATAATTATTCCTATTCTGAATGATCTGTACTAAATTTATTATATGAAGTACAGTTAATAAGTATCAAAAATCCAAGACAAGATGTTTGGCTAGTTTATAAAAGGGATTTAAACAAATGATCAAAACACCGGTGGTCACTGAGCTAACGCTGAAACTGATGCACGTACTGAGTTGTTACCACAGCATTCAGTGTCTCCACTGCAGTTAAGGGTATGCTGGCATTTACATTCTAAACTAGAACATTTATTCCGAGAGGTTTATAACTTGCCCATTTTAATTACCATCTGGCTGAAACTTCAAATAACCAATCTCCATTCACATGTAAATTTTTAAGTAGAAGATGTAATTTAAAATCACTTTGCCAATTGTTTTTAGTTTAGGAATGGCAGCAATTTGGAATTTTGCTGCTCTTGGATGTCTTTGTATTACTCAAAAAATAAACAGCTCAGTGCTTAACAATAAAATTGTATTGGTCTATAATGTGAAGTGAAGATAAATACAGGGAAGAATAAAAATCGTGTCTGAGAGTATTGTTTGTACTAATGAAGTAACAACCACACCACTTAGTATGTCTTGCTTATATGTTAACTTATGCACTTTCAGTATTTAACTACACTAGCAAAACTGAGGGAAAAGGTAGTAAAAAGCAAAAGGAAATCACAGTAAACAGGAAAAAATTTGGTGTTGGCTAGCTGAAGCGGTTCACTACCCATCAAGGCATACATAAAGACAAAAAAATCCTGAATGTAGTTGTAGATAAAGTGAATGGGGGGCTATTAGCTACTAGAAGGCAGAACATGTCAGAATGAGCTTCTCTTGAGTTTTGCAACTACTGTTCACCACAAACCGAACGCAGGGAGCAGAAATACTGACAATTACAAGACACAGCAGCTACAAAAAACTAGAATTACACTATGCCAACTATGAGACATGGTTTCAAGTCACACAGAAAGACAAGAGTATAAACCACTGCAAATAGCATTTCAACAACGCAAAAGCAGCAATGACCAGCTTCTGTAGCAGAAAGCAGACTAAGAAATGACCAGGTTTTCAACTGATTACTATAAGCAACAAAGCATAAGAGGCTGGTACTCTGAGGTACATATACATCATACTGCCAAGTTTAAGGACAATCACTTAAATTTAAATAGTATCTTTTACCCTAAAAGACACCAAAATGCTTCAGAAATTAAGACACAGAAAATGCAGGGCATCCTTCAACTTTAATACACACAACAGTCCTATAAAACATTTTATGACAGCAGGTGAATAATACCATAGCAAACTGAAATGGCAGGGGAAATTAAGGTAGTCTGAATATAGTTTCTAAAATTGGAATGTCGCCAGTATAGTGGACTATTGCTTATAAAGTGTGTGAATATACAAAAAATAAGCACCTATGTTTTTTCTTCTAAAAAACAGCACCTAATGAACCCCTGTGATCTGAATTCTCATAATAGATCAATGGGGCAATATTTATATAAAAAGACCAGCAAGATTTAATCCCAAAAAGTTTCTGTGAAGCCCTTCCACCCAAACATTGATGAGACCTGGCATTGCTTAATTTGTGAAACGTGACAAGATGTTTTTGTTGAGATTATACTGCTATTAAATCAGAATATTCAGAATTTCAGAATATTGTGAAAGACAGGATGAAGGTAACAGTTGGCAACAGCAGCAAAATGTCTGAAAAATACTACTACTTCATCATTAAATGCAGTTAAAAAGGTTTTCCTTATCCTACTGCATCTAAAAACATTGCGATTTTCTTCATTTTAAGAATTTAAAAAAAAAAAAAAAAAAGTCCGGTATCTGTAACAATGCTATCCGCTAATGTGGACATGTGGACAACAGTGTGAAAACTGACTTGTTTTGGTGCAACTTCTTGTGTCACAATCACGAATAACCACTAACAGGAATAAGTCGCTTTTCCGTAATTTTCCTGTACTAATGTAGTTATCTTGAGAGACAAGCCCACATTCATTTAGGTGTGTCACACTTGCCAAGGCTTTTTTTAACCTTTTTCTGCTGCGCAAACTAATAAATATTTAAGAGCACTTTCTGAAGTGGAAAAAAATCAAGAAGTGATAGCACTACAATGAGTGAAATCTGAATTCATTTGGTCTATTACCATGGACTTACAGGCAGAATTTCATGCAATCTGTTTGCCAGCTGTTGCATAGCAAAGATAAGCCTTCCTTAGATGGACTGCCAGTCCATCTACCATAAAATCAATGGGAACCTTCTAAACCAATTAACCGTTTCTTAGTTTTCTCCTCCCTCTTCTCCCCAAAGAGGCGTCTTCATCACAGAAAATGCTATTAATAGCAGCAGCAGTAGGGGTATGGAAACAAGTTACAGAACCTCTGCAGCTCTGCAGTAGCCATTCATATGCTTTCTTCCAGCAGAGAATTAACTTCTGGGTGAGTACATCATGCACAGGGACAGTTATTACAAAGCAGCCAAAACAATCCTCTTTTAACCTAGAGTAACGTGTTCACGTGTCTCTACACTAGAATGAGCAAGTTGCAAACCTCTAACAGGTCAAGTGACATCTTTGGCATCTATTGAATTATCAGAATTCTGTGTCCACGGATTTAATTTCCTAGTGACACTTCACATGGTCAGCCTCTCTCTATAAATAACAGAGAACCAGGAAGCAGCTCCTAGACACAAACAGCTAAGTGCAGGAGATACAAATACAATTACTTTTCTAAGACTCACCGTCTCATTTCCAAAAAGGACATCGACATAAGGCATGACTTTCATCATAGGCTCTTTGTAGAACTGGCTAATAAACGGTGCAGAAAGATTCAAGCTGAAGATCTTGTTGTTTGCAGAAGCCTGAGCAGCCACTTTTAATACTGCTTCTGGGCACACCGTCAGGAAGAATCCCTGCAAGCATCCAAACAAATCAATGTATGTTAGTAATTTCATATTAGGAACCACACAAAGTATGCTGCTTCTAGAAGGTCTCCCCCAACCCACCTTCGTCATACACGTGCACGGATAAAAACTTGTGGAAAATAACTGCCTTTCCATTAAGGTATTATGAAGGTGACAAAGCATCTGCATACCCCTAGAATGACAGCCCTCTAAAATTAAACGTAACTCCCTACCTCTGCATTCCGTGTAGTACACTTTGGCACGGCAGCTAAGACTAATGTTCATATTTTAAAAGGTGATATATTCTAATTCTAAATGCCCCTTTTCGTAATAGAGTCAATCATACTGTGCTGCTTAATTCCAAAGTCCGGTACAATGGCTCTATACACAGCTAGGAGATTAACGAAATCCCTTGCCTGAAAAAAATTATTACCTTGTTTATAATAAACATGTTGAGCATGCTGTCTTTATAGTAGTTGTTATTGTTTTGCAGGAAAAACCTAGGGGTTTTCATATTTCTACACATGTATTTTATTACCCCCCTCCCAAAAGTATTGTTCTTTATTCAAATAAGTATCAATTCTGAAACAAAATAAGCAGAACTCAACCAGAAATGACTATTTGTCTACTAAATTGTGAATGTTGATTTCAACCCTGTATGAAGGTTTTCAACCCTGTATGTTCAAGGCTGTCATTTTGAATTTAGCATTGCAGATGGTTACCTCAACCGCATGTGTTCCAGGAGTTATGTAAAGGTCCCCTACAGTTTCATTAATCTACTAATTAGACAAAGGTTTAGTCTTTACATTAAACAAACACATTTTATACGTTTCATTTTTATAATCCTAAAAGCAATTTTACTAACTGTTCTCAAAACTCTGTGAATCATAGTAATTTTCAAGCAAGAGCAGCAAGTGTTAAATTTAAGGCCAGAGATGATGTTTAAGGCACAGTAACAAACAACTTTGAGGGGGGTTCTGATAAACAAAACACCATCTCAGTCCTATCCGTAACATTGCCACCATGACACTCTAAACGGTATAATAGTGAAATAGTCTTATTTTGCAGTTTTTATCCATGTCATTATGTCTGCAGATAACAGAATATCTGTATTTTTGTCCTGCATACTTCAGCTAACAGATCATCTTAGGCACTCTACTCACTGGAAAAAATAATATAATGAAGAATCTGCAGATTAAAGACTACTTAGAAAGTATTTCTATTTATTTCTCCTCGCTCCACACTCTTCAGTCTAACAAATACATGATTGATTTTAAAATCTGGGCATGATTCGCTACATGACAATGAAAGTCCAAAGGGCACAAGACTGCTTTGCATCTTGTGGAGTTATTCAGTACCTTGAACAACTGGAAGCCTGTAAACATCCAAGCTTCTTTGCTATTTATACATTCTCAAGAATTAAAATGAACAGTTTATATAACATCTCGTCTCCATAGCAATTTCTACCATCTTTTAGTTTTTCATTTAATGAACAGAGTTGGATTTTTAAAAAACTGTTCCAAATACAAAATAAAAACCTTTCCAGGCTAACATGTTGCCAGCTGTGGACAAATCACAGATTGCTATACAGTGGTCTATGTAAATAGTAACCTGGTCAAATAATTAGGCTTCTTACCAATTTTAGGCTGAAAACTTCATCTGAACTAAAATACATCTGACTGTAATTTAAGGTGCAGAACACTATCCCCGTGAGATCTAACTCAGGCCTGCATCCAACTCCCTTTTCCTTGAAAAGGCAACATAAAAGTACTGAGATGCAGATAAGAGAGCTTGCTTCTCCGATCCTGCAAAGTAAAGGCCAGGAACTCTCAAAGGCTACACTTCTGTCTTATGGGTTTCCTAAAAATCACTCCTGCCATTTAATTGCATTCTCCCAAGAGTTGTTTATATTTTTATTTAAATAGCTATCTGACATTAAACCATCCAGAAATTAAGAGTTGCGTGTATGAGAACTCTTGTTAAAACTTTGCCAAGTACAACATTTCTTTGCAAAAAAAAAAGTTGTAGCAGTACAATTCACACAATGGATTTAGCAAAGAAGGAAGAAAATGTATAAAAACTGAACTGATCAAATTTGGGGTTAAAGAAACCTAATTAGACCCCCTCTCCTTAAGGATCTAAATTGAGTTTGTCTCTATTTTTAGTGTAATTCCAGTTACAGCTATGGCCAGTATAGTTACAGGAACCCAGCTTCCTAAATTTGAATTACAACTGGGTAAGCCACATAGCGTGCTACAGTTCGGAACAGGAACGAACTCCACTAAAACAACCAGGTTTTCTTATATCTCACTGGATTCACAACAAAGTCACTCCACTACAGCCCTCACCTGCTTGAAGCTGCCCCTGCTTTTTGTCCAGACACATGAATACAAAGGAATGTTGAAGTCAACGACTCCTGCCCCCTCTAACAGTTAACTGTTAGCCAACATTAGCTTTGAGCATGAGAGTAAGTGTATCTTGGTATCACTGGTATAAAAGATTTTGTATTTCACTATTAAGAAGTTCTGTACCCGCTAACAAGAAGGTTAACAGGCCTCTCAGAAGACATTCTATCCCAAATACACACCTCAGTCTACTTCTGAGAGCTTTCTACCCTCAAAACCCAAAGGTACCTTAAAATATCTACGAGGAAAATATTTGTAATCAAAAGATAAGGCATTTAGTTAACATACAGAAATTCCAATAGCCTGGGAAACTTAGGTTGCATTTATATATGAAATTAAATTACTGTGTATGTATCTATCTCTGTGAAAGAATGTTGTACATACAAAGACATATGATAATTAGTGCAAAGAAAGTAAAAGGCAGCAATATTGTACTAAGAAAACATTAAAGGCTACCAGACATAGCAGCAGCACGCAGTATTCCTTTGGCGTGCACTGATTGAGACTGAGTATACCAGATGCCACTGCTTCATGATGTGCCACTATTTTCTGCTGCTCAAAATGTAATGAGCCTCTTTTCTATGCCAAGAGGAAGGTACCATTGTACCACAAGCTAGAGAGCAAGGCTGAACTAATACATACACAAGTAAAACAGGATGATAGGCTGAATTATTTACACGCATGTTTGTATGTACACACATGCAAAACACGACGATACTTTTCTTATGCACTGAAGCAGTCCTTCTGTTTAAATACAGTCCTTTGGTGGAGAAGAAAATTTTCCTTGTGGGAGAAAGAGAAGCAAAAAGGAAGAAGTAAGAAAAACCTATTTGTGTATTGCAGACACATGGCTATGAGAGATGCAGTAGCTTGTTTGCAACATAAGAGCTTCTAAAATTCAATATTAAGATGAACATGACAGACCAAGTCAAGAGAGAATATCATATTAATCTCACTTTTACAATATTCAGGAATTCTTTGGTTTACCTTTTAAAATATGCCAAGGTACTGTGACTGTAGGACAGTCTTTTACACTCAAGTCTTTTTTTTTTTATAGACACTAGCATTACCGAAAGGATTTGGTGGGCTTACACACAAGCAACTTGTCTTTGCAATTCATGTGTCTCATTTTTGTCACACGCAGACCCAAAAGGTTGCTTCTGACCTACACTAAGTTCATACAGCACTAGCTATAGCAGATGTGAGGGTGGCAAATTAAGGGTGTCAAAAGTGTCAGCAGCACAGAATCGGAGAGTGTTGAAGGACCTCATGAAGCCAGAACGACTCTGGCTTTGGTGAAAGTAATTCTATATAAGGTGTTCTGTCCAAACTGAGAAGCCTTGCCATCATTTGTTCATATGAAATAACGTGCTTGCACTGAATTCATCTGGACTACATACATGTGTTTGCACAATGAGGGTCAAGATTTTTTTTTTTTTTTTTTTTTTAAATTTAAGCCGCAGAGTATCTCCTTAAAGCCAAAATTGAAATCTGTGCCCTAGCATACATTTAAACAAAACCAGGCTGAGATGGTAACAAACAGCTTTACAATTTTGAATTTATTATTGCTTAATAGCACAGAAGCAGTTTTTGCCTAAGAATATATAGCGATAATAAAAATTAGGATTGATTTCAAACCTACTACCCACAAAAATGCATTTGCCCTCTTTTTTTTCTAGCTCTTCCTCCTTCCTTGCCACTCCTATTTGCAGAGTGAGTTACATGAAAATAACTTTATCATATGAGTGACAGGATTTTGAACCATGGTATTCTGAGCTGATTTTGAAATGCCGTTTGGTAACAATGTAAAATCAATAAATTGCAAGTGCGAATCAAAATATTTAACTTTCAGAAACACATATACAACAGTCTGCTGCCATTTAAGACAAATTATATTCTGCCAACATGAAAGGAACACACAATTTAATCCAGAATTACTTTATAGCAAGCATTTACACAAAAAAGCAATTATGATGACATCACACTCTCATCCATCTAAAGGGCAGAATTTTTCAGGCACATAGAAAGTTTGACAGTTACGTAGTGACAGTCCTGATAAATACTGTGACTCAGTAAAGCCCTACAGAAATCATCTAACTTCAAGTACGCTGGCAGTTCCAGTAAAAGAGTGCTCAGGTGCCAAAAGAGCTTGCTCTGTTCAACCACAGACATAACCAAGTCAGAGCTTTGGCCCTGGTTAAGCTTCTCGTATTCTGTACGCAAAGAGAACTTCAAGCCACACACTCGGGCAGAAGAGACTTCCCTCAGCTCTGCTTTGCCATCAGTCTCATCTGCTGCAGTCTAGCAGAATATCAGGGCTTGGAAGGAGTGAAGCTGCAACACATGGCAGTTCTTGGGATGGAGAATGAACCACTAGGTAACTGCTCCAGAGAGAAGAACTTACAGAAGGCTTCCAGGTGCCCTTACAACCAGAAGAGACTCTTCTAGCCTCTGAACTGCACGGAGCACAGGTTGGGTGCAGTCCATGTCCCACCCACTGTGAGACAAGGCAATGAAATCATCTTCCCTCAGAACAGGAACCAGAAGGAATCTTCTTGGAAAGTTAGAGCAAAAGCTCTTCATCTGTCTTAGTACTTATGTGAG